TTTAGAATGGTTATATATACTTTAGAAAAGGGCTATCTCTCTCTAGCTTTCCTTTCTTGCTTGCGTGCCTACCTACTTGCTTGCTTTCTAGCCCCGATGCCAATGCCTTTCCTACTATCGAGTCTTTGCAATCTTCTGTCATTCCTCGAGTACTATCCCTTTGAAATGGTTAAACTTTTTTTCTTTCCATGTAAGAACCCGCACCGCTAAATAATTAATTAAATAAGAGTATCGATGCCGGAGCATGGATTTGATAAAGATTATGCATAATTATGGTAAGATAAATATTTAGAAAGTCGAATAATGTTTAAAGTTGCTTTTCAGACGAAAAGTGCAGATACCGGTTCTGATTCGCAGTATAAATGTGTACCGGTGAAGTATCCCAAAAAATTATAATAAAAATATAAATATTCCTAAAAAAAATATCTAGGTCGATTTTTGCAAGTTTGGAGTAAGAATAATGAGCGTTGATGTTAGAACTAATACTGGCCATGTATAAAACGCGTGCCGGCAAAGTGCTGCGAAAATTATAAGAAAAATATGATAAATCCTAGAAAAATGGCTAGGTTTAGAATATGAAGTTTAAAATTAAAATAATTAGCGGAGCTATTAGAAATAATATGGATGAATTAAGTTAATGCACCTTTAAATAGGAGGGCACATTAACCTAGGTCAGAAATATGCACCCTCCTACGTGACACTCAGAAGCTGCACTTTGCTCTTCACATTTCCACCACCCATCTTCTCCAAGGAAACCTTCAAGAGACAACTTTTTCTCTTGATTTCTTCACAAAAACTCCATTTTTGAGTGTACATAAGCCTAGGGAGGTTGAAAGGCACTCCATTTCTGAGTTGTAGCCATTTAGTAGAGTCAGTTGAGGGCTGACTTCTTTGGTTAGTGAAGGGGGAGCCATTTCATTGGCACTTGAAGCTTCAAGAAGCTATTTTGGGAGAAAAATAGACCAAGCTTGTGAACCATTTTCGTGGCCTTGAAGTGGCAGAATCATTGAGTTGAGTAGAGAGCTCCAAGATCATCCATTTCCTCTATTTTGGAAGCTTGGTATACATTCTCAACCTTTGTTCATGAGTTTCTATGTTAAAGATTAAGTATTGGCATGTAAAATGATATGATTAAGTAACTAACATGAACATTGTCCTGAATGTGTTTAAAAATACATGTTTGAACGTCTGGTCACATGAAAAATGAAGTCTTGGAAGGATACCTTCGTGAAATGCAGAACAACATTTTGTCGTGAAATGTCCGAATATGATATCCGAATATTGATATCCGGATATGGATATCGGGATATTGGATTTGTGATATCCGGATATGCCTCGAGGAATATCCAGATATTCTGGAAAATTCGTAGTTTGAGCCATTCTGTCCAAACAGAGGTGTGGTTTGGATTTTTGGATCCTATAGTGGCTAGGGTGAACCCTGTAATGAAGAAACTAAGTCAAAATATATAATATTGAAGACTTATGGCTTTGAGAGAAGCCTACGGTCATTAAACGGTAAAGGAAATGTGTTTAAATATAATGAAAACCTAGACTATGAATGTTGATAATGTGAATATTATGAAACTAGATCCTTCACTATGCTGGACCTTGTTATTGCTTGTGACCCTATGGACACCGTGTTGTGAGGAAGGAGTTAGCTTGACAGGTAAGCTTCTGGTCCTCGGATTGATCTGTTGCTTGTTCCATCGACCTCCATGGGAGGGTGATTTATGTGCATGGTATGGTTTTATGAAAATGATATATGCATTGTTATATACCTAATATATGTGGATATGCCTGTTGATCTAATGTATGGATGTGATGTTGATTACTTACACGATCAGGCTGCGTCCCTGGTGTGTAAGACATACGGCTGCGACCCTTATGTTTAGGTAGGTCGCAGACGTGTATAATTCCTATCATGTTCTCTGGCCAGTTGAACCACACTTGCATATAAGGGTGGCTATACAGGTATTGACCCGCGGGTTGACCCGTGACCCGACCCGCCAAATCACGTGTCGTGTCAACCTGCGGGTCAGGGCGGGTTGTGTCAGGGTTGTGTAAATGTGACCCGTTTTTTTTTGTGTCGGGTCACGTGTCAACCCGCGGGTTCGCGTGTCAACCCGCACAGTGTCATTTTTTTAATTTTCAATTAAATATTTTATTATATTATTATTTTTATTCATTTATATATTGATATATATAGTCATTGTTTAGTATAGAAAAGAATACAAGGAACTAAAAATCTCAAGAAACAGAAGCTAATCTTTTTTTATTTTATTTTTTATTTTTTTGTTGTTTTTAATTTATTTATTTTTCAAAAAATTCCACTTTTTTTTAAATTTTAAATTTTGTGGGTCGTGTCGTGTCGACCCGTGACCCGCAACGGATCGTGTCAGGGTTCGTGTTTTGTGACCCGTTTACAAAACTGGTCGTGTCAAGGTCGTGTCAAATAGTGTACGGGTCGAAAACGTGTCATGTCGTGTCGTGTCTGGTTGACCCGTATTGCCACCCCTACTTGCATACATCACATGAGATATTAGCAGTGGTATTTGACTCGCTGAGTATTCATATATATTGTCATGATTATACTGTTTTATCAGAAACATGCATTGTACTTAGCTTTTTGAACGTATATATATACTTGTAAGTGAGCTTGGGGCGGAAGAGTCCTTGAGGACCCCTTGTCTTACTGAGATTTTTTGTTAGAGATCTCACCCCGTGTGGGGCATATTTTCAGGTACAGGTACCTCTGAGGTTGAGACCTCTGGCGTAGGGAGGCCGAAATTGAGCTGATATTATGCATGCTGCCTTACTGTCATATCTGGTCATGATTATGCTTTATTATTGCTATATGGCTTTATGGTTTGAGACTTGATTTAGATATGTGTTTTATTTGGGGAGCATGAGGGTTGTCCATGCCACATTGGTATAAGATATGTTCATTCCAGACTTGAGTTGTATATTGTATCAGAATATTGTCCAGTCTACAAGTTGTAGTTTCGTGACTTGATACATAATTATATTATGAGGTTATTCAATGTAGTTATTTATTGCAATTTACATACAGGCGATATTTTGAAAAGAAATAAGTAAATTCACTTGGTTAATATAATATGATTCATAATTGAAAAAAGTTAGCTTTCGCATTTATTGAGCTGCGCTATTACCATTTGTATGTTTAATACACCGGGTGCACACGGGGTGTTACAGTCTACAACCTTCAAGTACGATTAAGAAATAATGGATTGGAATACCAGGAAGTAAGTATGACTAAGGTCAGAGTCTGGTTGAGTAACTCATGATAGAAAGAGTCCTTCATTTCTAATGTACCAATCACAATAAAAAAATAGAAAACGAAGGAAAATGACAATTAATTGTAATTAATGTATTAATCATAATTAATGTATCAATCACCAATCACAATTAATGTTCACAATTAATTTTGATCGCAATTAATGTATCAATCACCAATCACAATTAAAAAATAGAAAACGAAGGAAAATGACAATTAATTGTAATTAATGTATTAATCATAATTAATGTACCAATCACCAATCACAATTAATGTATCAATCACTATTCACAATTAATTTTGATCGCAATTAATGCACTAATCACCAATCACAATTAATGGATCAATCACCAATCACAATCAATTGTTTGTGATACTATTGTTACAAATTTGAACGATGTTTGTGAGAGATAAAATATGTCAAATGAAGTGTCATTGAGTAGATCTCAAAAAATTATGTGAAATAAAATAAAAAATATCTGATTTGGATATCCGAATTAAAAGTTATGGCCCTCCAAAGTGATTGGTGATTGATACATTAATTATGATTGATACAGTCAAAAGTTAATCCCATTTGTATGCTAATTGTGATTGGTGATTGGTACATTAATTGTGATTGGTGATTAGTATATTAATTTTCTTTTTTTGATTGTGATTGATACATTAATTCTGATCGGACAACGAGATTGTGCCACGTAGCGCACCAAGTTCGCTAACCCAGGTAGCGAACTTTGTCCAGTCAGCTTTTCCTGCAAAAGTGTGCCACATGTCACGAAATTATTGGCTACCAAGTTCGCTACAAGTAGTAGCGAACTTGGACACGTGGCAGTCAGCTTTTCCTACGAAAGTGTGTCACGTGTAACAAAATCATTGGATACCAAGTTCGCTGGGCACTGTAGCAAACTTGTCCGCGTGGCATATTGAAAAATAACACTGTTCGCGAGATATTTGGGTAAAAAACTTAATGAACAGTAGTATTTTAGTCACTGTTCCGATTTGCTCATTGACGTGACTTCGGGATGTAGGATAGAGAGACTGAGAGTCAGAAGAGATAGCAGAGAAAGAACAGTATCTCAATGCCATTTAAGCAAACTTATATGAAAATTTAATAAATGCGTCGCAATTTGTGTTACGGTAGTACTAAAACTCTGAAATACTCCAAAATCATAGAATTTCATATTTGGCCATCAATTTTATATGGACTCAATGATAGCCCCTCCCACTTTTGTTTCTTCCTTAGGGTGTTCGTTCTTTTCTCCACACAATATAGTCGAGTATACGAGTGGTGTACTCGAGTAAATTCCATCAACAACCCAGTTCACAAACAATACTTGAGTATGACACTTGTGTATCTTAATATTTATTGTTTCACGTAATATACTCTAAGTACATAACTTAGTTAGGTCAAATAGGGACAGGTGAGTGAAATATTTTGGTACGACAGTGAAGCAATAATTTTTAATTAAATTAGGGGTACAATGGTCAAAAAAACCACTTAATTCGCTCAATAGATTCAATCTACTCGGATTTTACAGGATTTAAATGACTTCCGGATATCATTTTCCTTTTAAGAAAATAAAAATCAAGCATTCATTAATATATTATGCAAAGAAAAGCCACAAGCTGATGATAATCCTCGGGAATTCAATGCACACACATATCTGCTCAATTTAATTTCACACATACAGATATTTCTTATGACATCAACAAACTATAGCAGATATACGCATAACAATTTAGATAAATAATGTTTGATCTATCTATCAGACATTGTAATGCTCTAGCTGAACATCTTTAGCCTTCAATGGCTCATATTCTCCGTGATAAACTTCGAGGTGATCTGACAAAGCAGACTTGTCAATATTCTGATGGTGATAGGATTTGCAAACAAAATAGAGCACAGTTTGGATGACAAGCCCAAACAGAAACAAATGAGGCAAAAGCGAGAAACACAATATCCCATATCCTACTGAGCTCATTCCCCATCCTTGCATGACCGCTTTCTTGAACAAAAACTGTATCAGGACAAATGAAACATTGAGCTTCAAAAATATGAGTATGGACAAACCCATCTTTCCCTTTATCAATTCCTTGCTAATCATCATGGCTTGAAATCCACACGAGTCTTCCAACACTGTCACAACACTAGCTAATTGCCAAACCACTGTAAGGTACACAAACCCTATTAAATATAATATCGCAATGACCACTAAAATGACAATCGCTCCACTATGTACCCCAATTGTAAGTGCCCATATGAAGATAACAAACACTGTCATAGCGTTGTAAGCAAAGAAAGCAACGAAGGTGCACAAAAAAGTGACCATAAGTCTCTTCCAGACCTTTGGAACAACGCTCATGACCTTGTTGAAAGTTACATCTCTTGCGGTATAAATGGAAGCGATGGTGTATACCACTGCAGATGTGGATAGGAGTGAGAAGATGAAGAGAAAAGTGAAGTAAACGAGCTTGAAGAAAAAGAAAGTGGCCCATTCAGAGGAGAGTATATCAGAGAGCTTCTTGTATTGGGGTGTGCCCTGTTGGGTTTCGATTATTTCCTGTGTGTTGTGCATAATCTTCCTGAAGAGGAAATTGGACACCTCTATATGAATGAGGAAGATGAAGGAGAGGGGGAGGATTAGAGTTAAGGTGATCTGGCTGAAGATCTTCTTCCATGAAAGTATGATCTTGTAGGATTCTTTGTAGATGTCAAAGAGCCCAAGAAATTGCATCTCTTCTTGTTCTCTGTCCATTGCTCAATTTTTCTTTCGATAGTGTTTTAGTTTGCAATGGTGGGGAAGCTATGGATTGAGAATAGATGATGAAGAGGTAGGAGACTATAATAGCAAGAGAATGCGTCAAAGTTTTATATCGTGGTAGCAAATTAGACTCAGTTGGTCTTCCATGCGCTCTAACTAGCGCTACTTTTTAAATGAACGTGTTATTTGACAAGTATAGGTCAATGGTGAAGTTTGTTCAAGGGAAAAGTGTGTGTCATTTTAAAGGACGTAAAGTTGTGTCATTTTAAGAGAGTAAAAGAGATAGATAAACGAGGAGAGATAGTTGACAAAAAAAATAAAGGTATGGATCCCACCTCTTTGTGAGAGTGAAAGGATATAAGTTATGTCATTTAAAAGGATAAACATTTTTTCTTTTGTTTAATAATGTCCAATACTACATAAATAAAAAGGAAAAAAATGTGCTTTCCACGTGTTTTCTTTTTCTCAACGATGTTTAATTACCACGATAGTATAATTAATCAAAATTGTCTAGAAGTTTAATTAATGTTTAGTAAATGGTGAGCATTATAATTTTGTTATTAACAAAATCACTAGTTTACTGAGAATTGATTAACTGTCAAATATTTGTTTTTCTTTGATTATTCTTGTTTACTCTAACAATAGCATTAATGAACATTATTTTGATAAGAATCAATTTAATTACTGGTACAAAAAGTTTTACCTAGATGTTTGAATAATTACATCATACCCTGATGGCATACAAATGCAAGGCCAAAAGAGGAATTTACTATGAGATACAAAATAAAAGAAGATTCATTGGTAGTGGACAATATTTCCGGAAAAATCAATGGCTTTGATTTTGTCTTGAAGGACGGCGAAGAACAAGTCTTCGGAAAGATATAAAGTTATTGTTGTGCAAGTATTTAATATGAACCACACAAGAGATTGGGATAATATAAATCAAGCTCTAAAATGAATTGTCAAATCATTTTAATATTTAAGTACTTAACATCAGGAACTAAGCTAAGGCGAAGACTACGAAAAAGATTATATCTCAATAAATAAATAACAACGCTTCATTTTTGTTCTTTTTTATAACTTTCTTCGGTTTCTTCGATACTTCCAATTTCAAATCCTTGTCAAATAAATAAATCCTGCCATATTATTTATAGGGATGTTTTTTGCTTCTTTTTGTTTTGGTAGACTCCAAGGTGCTCTTTTACATAAATTATTGATGTTTTATTTAATTTTATGCTGAAAACTGATTATTATTTTTTTTTTAGTGGAAGTTCTTATGTTCTTTATATGAAAAAAACAAAATCTTTACTTAAACCCTGGTTTGGCTCTATAAATAAAATGCTACCATGATGCTGTTGTAATTCAGTTTATAAAATAAGCCAAATTTCTTGTTTAAATTGGTTTTATTTTATTGTATTCTCCATATTTAATTTTTGTTTTGATATTAAACTCATTACTTTATGGGTGCATATTTTCTTATGTTGTAGAATAGTAGGAGAGAAAAAAAGTAGAGATAAGTTAAATGTGGGTCCCACATTTTAAATTAAAAAAGAAAAGAAAAATTAATTGGCACGGAAAATGAATTTGAGTAGGAAAAAGTTCTTATCTCATGTAGAAGGAGATAATGATTTCCCTTACTTTATTACTTACTATTTGTTCTTGGTCACGTGCGTGAGACAAAATTCTGCGTCCCAGACCCTTGTAGTCCGCCAAGAGAGACTAGGGAGGAAAGAGAAGAGAGAGGGGAAAAAAGGGGAGGGGACCTGGAAATTAATTCCCCACTCGCGTAGCCCAGCAGCCAACCGATCAAGCATCTCAGCAGTCAGCACTTGTTTTGGCTTCTGACATTTGTGTTGCCCCGCGGTGTCTCAATATATCTTAATATCTCAGTGTATGTACCACTTATATGATATGTGACATGTGATACGACACGATATTTTGACACGTTAATTTTAAAAAAATATGAATTTTGACACGTTAGGACACGTTCTAATATTAAATAATATTTTTAATTTATATAGTATATATTTCATTTAATATTCAATAATTTAACAAAAAAATAAAACTAAATTAATAATACCCATCAACACGTTATAAAGGTGGAAACTTTAATAAAAAAAATAAGAACTGGGATGAGAGATAGATAATATCAGATAGAGAGATCAAATCATATTAGAGAGAGATCAGAGAGAAGGAGATACAACAAGAGCGTAATAGGAATTGACAACAATAATGCTGAGATGATCTCTTATCTACTTAAGGGAAAAAAAGATAAAAAAATAAAATTGATATGATCAGGTGGAAACTTTATTAATATATTTTAATTTTATAAAAAAATATTTTTTTTTTTTTAAATTTAAAATTTTTTTTACAAAAATGTCATTTGACCGTGTCGGAGCGTATCGGACACAATCAAATTCACGTGTCAGGAATGTTGACCGCGTGTCGGACACCGTGTCGGGAATGTTGACCGCGTGTCGGCGTGTTGGACACGACACTCCTTGTTTTTTGGAGTGTCTGTGCTTCCTTGACCTCAGTAGTCTTCTTTGTACCAAGAAAATGCTACCTTCCTTAACACGTGTTATATAAATCGTTTAATGTGGTAAAAGAAAAAAAGATACAAAGATTCAAAATATAATATAAAACTATTAATTGACTTTTTCAAAATATCAGAAAGGCTAAAAAATTTAAATATTTTTTTTATTAAAAATTACAAAAATATTACATTTTAAAATTTATTTACGAATTTATGACAATAAATCCCGCCAACAATGGGGTGGGATTGGTTCCGCCTAAAGCTAAGTACATTAGGGGGCTTGGTCACGCCTGTTTTGGACGCGATCCAGCCCAAAAAGTGTCACCGCATTTGTTTCTTCCTGTATATCCTTTTCTTTTTCTTCTAGATTCTAACCACACAATAGAGCGTACCCCCACACCCTTTCGTGTGCTCCTTCATCTTCCATTAATGTCCCTTCCCTCACTAACTTCAAACTCTCTCTAAAGAGTAAAACCACTCTCTCTAAAGAGTAAAACCACCCCTTCTTTTCCTCCTTTTTTCTCGCTTTATATATATACACACATATATTTTGGAACGAACTTGGTCCGTCATTCTTGGCTAAGAAGTCTTTGCGAAAGTCAAACATCAAGTTAGGAGCTTGGCTATCAAAGAGGTCGACCTGAACTCACCAGGTCGGCCTATACGCAGCAGAAACAAAAATATAGAAAGGGGGGAGAGAGAGATAAACATAAACAAATTTTTAACGTGAGAAAACCTTCTCTAATGTGAAGAAGTACAAAACCCAAGATGTACTAGTCTAAAATCAAACTTTCACTATGAGATTAATGGGTACAAGATATCAAACTTCACCAATAATGGTGGTAAACTCCTACAATAGTGGTATTCTCTCAAACTTTCTTAAGGAGGTCTAACATTCAAGTTTCTCCCTAGAGGTGTTCTCAAAATTGTCTCAAAAATGTCTAACTCTAAGGTCTCATATAACACAAACTTATATAGTAGAGGAGGGAAAAATCTAGAATATCAAGAGTGGGAGAAGCTTGAGTGTTAGACCTCCTTAGGAAAGTTTGAGAGAATACCACCATTGTAGGTGAGGTTTGAGTGTACCACCATTATTGGTGAAGTTTGATATCTTGTACCCATTATTTTCATAGTAAAAGTTTAATTCTGGACTAGTGTCCTGTGAGTTTTTACTTCTTCACATTGGAGAAGATTTTCCCACGTTAAAAATCTGTCTGTGTTCATCTTTCTCTCTCTCCTTTCTATATTTTAGTTTCTGCTGCGAATAGGTCGACCTGTTGAGTTCAAGCTGAGCGCTTTAATAGTCGAGCTCCTAGCTTGATGTTTGACTTCCGCAAAGGCTTTTCAGCCGATATTGAAGGTATTAAAGCCAGGGTTAGACAATATTGTTACAATGGCTTGCCCTTCATCGGAGAAACCCTGCAGCTCATTTCGACTTGCCTTTAAACGCTCTAGTGACAGTATTGTTACAAATTCAAACGGTGTAAATGGGAGATGGAACTTCAACTAAAATATACTTCTCTCTGCTTGCACTCGCCAGATTTGAATATTTTTAAAAAGGGTAAATACTCATAAAAATTACATATAAAATATTTGAATAGATCGAATTTTGATTTAAATTTCTTATTATTTAAAATAATTACAAAAACATAAAATCTATAATTACGAGAACATCGATATATAGATACACACACACACACACACATATATAGGTTTAAAACTTTTTATAGCCGCTTTAGATAAGGTTGTCTACAGCTACTTGTTTTTAACTAAGTCTGACTAGTAAGACATAAAAATTGTATTTTCTCTCTCCGCCACGTCAGTCGACAATGTCGGAGAGAGAAAAAAAAGAACAACTTTATTATTACAACAAAGTCTTACTGATCAGACTTAGCTAAAAAGGGGTATATGTAGATAATGTTATCTAAAGTGACTATAGAATTTTTTTTTCACATATATATAATTAAATCGATTGATTTATTAAAATGATAATAAATAAAAATTAAAAAAAGAAATAATTATTTGTTTGGCCGGAATATTCAGAAGTGAGTATAATTTCATATAAGGGACTATTTAGTTGTAAGTAGCTATAAGTTATCAGAAGTAATGAGTGCCAAAAAGTGGACTTTAAGATGATTTAGAAGTGAGTATCATACCATATAGGGCAGTGTTATAAAAATCGAACCGGACCGGCCAGGTCGAACCGAAAACCGGTAAACTGGTCATGTGACAGGTCCGGGTAGAATAATAGATCGGACATGCAAACAAACCAGCGTGACCCGGTGTGAACCGGAATAAACCGGTTGGTTTTGCTAAAACCGGCGACTCGCCAAGTCAAAAAATAAACAACAAAAAGGAAGAAAAAACGTCGAAAAAAATGGAACGCTGGCCGCCGGGAGATGACTTGGCCAACAATGGGGTCCACCAGGGAAGACCACACGGTGGTACAAATGTCTAG